TATAAATATTATGATAATATATCCTCTGGTATTTTGAGGAGTGGATGTACATACATATTTGTCCACAAAACAGTGCAAGACAGCAGCAGGTGCCTTGATTGAAAGGTCCAGAGTGTGTATGGATGTCAGTCAGATGTGGACATTTTAATATGTATGTAGGATTCTATTATTTATAAAAAACCTATATCCTAATAAATTTATCTGAATAATAAAACTAATGAAAAGTTGTAAGCATCACACTAAAGATCTTTCCACATTTTTTCACTTTTTATTATAAAAAGAAGAGGAGAAAAAAAAATATGCATTTTGTCTTACATTTTCCAAAATTAAGATTTACATCTGTGCAAGTACCTGTGTGAGTGTGTGTGTGTGTGTGTGTGTGTGTGTGTGTACACAAGAGTCACAGAGTGTATTTGGAGTCAGAGGATAATGTTGGGGGGTCCACTGTGGGATCCAGGGAATGAATTCACATCAGCAGGATTGAGCAGCGAGGACATTTACACACTGGGCCATCTCACTGCCCCGTGTCCACCTTCTTGATAAGGTTTTGTCCGACAGACTGTGTGTCACTATTTCTCCCTCTGGGCTCAGCACTCAGTTCATTCTGTCCTCGGGGTCCCATTCTTATATTTAAGATATGTGTATTTGCTACTCTCTAGAGTGAAAGCTATTGTCTCATTTTCTCTTTTATTTTTCTTATTATTCACATATAACTTCAATTTTTTTAACTAAATCAGAGAAATTAAGACATCTGTGGTGACTAACTGCCAGCACTAGGCAGAGGCAGGTGAATCTCTGTGCAGTCCATGCCAACCAATTTTGTGTAGTGATTTCCAGGCCAGCTGGGGTTACAGACCCCATTTAAAATCACACACACACACACACACACACACACACACACACACATAAACCCCAAAACAACCCAACAATAACAGAAGGAAATTAAGTAACACAAGAATTGCCAACTTTAACATTTAACTGTATGTAATTCCATCTTCCAAATGGCTCACTTTTAACCCCCACTATATCTAGACAGTCATGTCTTCTGCCCATCTGCATTTCCTTCATCAGTGAATGGAGCTGGCTTTGTATGACTTGTGGAGTTAGGTGGTTTGAGGTCACTTTTACTGGTGGTGTCAGTCCACTAGGGGGTACTGCAGGCTTTCCAGAAATGAGGAGCTCTGGGAGATTGAGAGGAAGCTTGAGAAAGTCACTTCATGAAGCAAGGCAGGGCGCTTCTGGTGCAGACTTCACCCAGATCATTAGCATTCTGTCATTATTTTTAAAACCTCAGAAAGGTAAAATATATATCTCTTTTCACTGGATCCCATGTGTCTATAAATCTGTTTTAAGAATGATTATCTGAACAGAGGTAAGAAAACTGAATTTCAGTGGACAGTGTCAGGATGGAAGCTTAAGAGAAAACATTTCCTTGACTTACAAATATCTTCAATTTTGTGACTAAAATCCCCCAAATTCACAGATCTAGAAATCATTCCAATATGCTGACAGTCCGTGTGTGTGTGTATGTGTGTGTGTGTGTGTGTACTTCTTTTTCTCTAAAGTAGAAACAAAATTAACTAGCTGAGAAGAAAAAATGGGAACATAAGACATGAAAACAGAGGAAGAATAGAGAAAGGATCATATTGAACTTGACCAGCCATGTGCACCTGATTAGAGTCAGCTGCCTTCAGCTGAACAGTCCAGGGGAAAGGTCTGGGCAGAAGGGGAGAGCTGGGAAATAAATCATGTTAGACATATGTACATATGATTTTTCTTTTAACCTACACTATTTTCTTGGATACCCTTGAAACATGGCCCTCTGACCCCCTGCACAGTTGTCATCCACAGTCCTGAAGCAGTTACTGTGCCATTTCAGCTGGCCGTGGTGGGTGGAGTTTCCTGTGTAGACAGACAACAGAGCTCAGTGATTCAAGGGGAGTGTTGTCTGTTAGCAGATGTTTGTCTGGACCCAAAATTTGGCAACCTCCAGACCTGTAGAGACACCATCTCAGCATTTGGACAGGAGCCATGGAGAGGAGACTTGAAATTGTGCTGAGCCTTCTGTGGGTGCAGGTTTGCTGTGAGTTGTGGTCACCCCAGATGCAGTTAAGGGGGCTTCAAATCTGTCAGTGGCAGAAGGCGAGAGAGCCGACACAAAGCTCCTTTGGGGTCCTTCATCCTCGTGGGTTTCTTCTTGGATACTTTAGAGACGGTGGAAACTTCTCGGTGATTGTGTTTTGCTTTCCTTTGTCCAAACAGGGGTGACAGGGATGCAGGTGGAGCAGCGTCCTTCAGTCCTGAGTCTCCAGGAGGGAGCCAACTCTACTGTGAGATGCAATTTTTCTACCACCACAACCAATGTGCAGTGGTTCCAGCAGAATTCTAGGGGCAGTCTCATCAGTCTGTTCTACATGGCTCCAGGGACAAAGGAGAATGGGAGGTTAAAGTCAACATTTGATTCTAAGGAGCTCTATACCACCCTGCACATCAGAGATGCCCAACTGGAAGACTCAGACACCTACTTCTGTGCAGGGAAGGCACAGTGCTCCGAGCCAGCCTGCAACCTGGTACCAAACCACAGGTGGGTCTGCAGCTGCAGCCCTCATCGTGGTGAGAAGCTGCAGGAACGTTTGCACTTCTGTGGGTTTCCTGATTTAAGCTGTATAACCTTCATCTCTGCTAACATTAGACAATCATGGACTTTAATTTCACCTAGCTTTTAACCTTTTTCCTTTCTGGAATACCTTTGTAAGGAAAATGGTTTTGGATGAACCATTAGAATAATTGGAGAAAAAATTAGGAGGGTCCTAAATACTGTTAAAAACACATTCTCTGGAAATATATTATTGGGATGAAAAATGCTTGGAAAAATATCAGAGTAAACAAACAAAACAGAGAGAGCTCAGTACTCCAGTGAAGCACGATGATGTGGTTTTCCTGGGGAGAAGAGGCAGAAGGTATGTGTGATAAAAGTGCACACACACCCAGGGCACATAGGGTGGTTTGGGTTCAGATTCTCTGTCCTGGAATCCAGAACAAATGTCATAAATGATACTTCATGTCATTGAGCATCCGGTACTGATAGTTGTTACAGACATGTTCTAAATACTGACAAAACTTCATTTCCCATGCTAATACATTCAAGATTATATAGGGAAAGTCACCTGCCTCAGCTGACATGCTAGTTACCTAGCAATGCTGGAGTGAGATTTCCCCCTGGGGTGACAGAAAGTCCCATATCATATCTTAAACACTGCTGTTTACTGTAGAACATTTCAGAATCCAAAGTTACTTGTTCATAAGCTTGTAAATTATGTCTATTTACATCACTGGCAAAAAATGTTCATTATAATCCATTTCTGCTTTGATAGCTCCTTTTGAGGAAGAGGTTATTTAACTTTTGTTTTATTGATGTTGATATAAAATATGGAGTCAAGACTGAGACCCTGAGCTCCAAGAGGAGGAAAACTGGGCAGCCCCAGTGTGCTGGATAGCTTTAGTGTCAACTTGACACACCTGGGTTGACGGAGCCTCAATCAGGGAATTGCCTCTATTGGACTGGCCTGTGGCCATGTCTGAGGGGCATCTTCTTGATGAGTGATGTGGAAGGGCCCAGCCCACTGTGGGTGGTGCCATCTCTGGGCAGGTGGGCCTGTGTTGCATAAGAAAGCAGGTAAGCAGGGGCCAGGGGAGCAAGCCAGTAAGCAGCGTTCCTCCATGGCCTGTGCTCCAGCTCTTGCCTCCAGGTTCCTGCCGTGAGTTCCTACTTTGGGCTCCCAGATGAACTGTGACCAGGGAGATGTAAACCTAATAAACCCTTTCCTCCTCAGGTTGGTATTGGTCAGAGTATTTTGTCATAGCAATGGAGAAACGAACTAGGACACCCAGTAAAGCTGGTATCAGGGCCAGTTTTCTGGGCCAGTGACCTGTGGAGTCCTGTGTCTCCTAGCCCTCAGGGGGGCCTAGTTACATGTTCTGCTACTGCTGTCTTCAATTCTTAATAACTTCATCCTTGCCTTGTGTATTGCAGGAAGCGTGCAATAAGAGGTCTGAGCAGAGAGACACACAGAGCTTAGCACATGCAGCTCAGGTCCCGGACACAGCAGTGGCCCATGAGCTGAGCAGCTGGGTGTCCCTGTCTAAGGTCTATACATGGAAGGCTCTCGGGAGCTCTGCAGAGCCTCAAAGTGAGTCATCATAGCTGTTAGTAGAGGATTACAGCACGAGAGCACACACACGGCAGACAGAGCATTAAGGAGAGACTAGAGTTCTTGAAAAGTTTAGAATCTTGGTGATACTTTATTGACAAGTGACAACAGGTTTTACAATGACATTCAAATTTGGAGATTTTTAGCTTGCTGGAGAACAGGTTCCATGACTTTCTAATGAACCAATTCTTGCAAGAATATAATTTTAGTATTAATTTTCCTTATAATTGTCTATAGGGTGAAAGCATACAGGAACGTGAATTCTAAACTATATGTAAATCATGAAGCCTCTTTCAGTTTATCAGCTCTCCAATGAATTAAATGAATGTTTGAGGAAAAGTTAAAAGGTTGATACACAAAATTCAGTTAAACTTCTGACTGATATGAAACTGACTTGTGTAAAGAGTTAAATTGTCTTTAAAAAATTGCTCAGCTAGAAACATCGTTCCCAGATTACTAAAATTTATGTTTCAAGTATTTTATCGAATATTTACAATAATGTATAATAGAATATTCTCCTAAGATCCAGAATTATTGGAGTCATTTTTCAGAATCAGAAATTGACAACAATTGCTTCTTGTTTTCACAGAGAACACCTGGAAACATGTCCAATTATTCTACTCAAAGTTGAGTTGCTAAAGGAATTAATTTTCAAACTCTGATATATCAAATCATAGAAACATAAATCAAAAGAAATCTTATGATTACATCAAGACATTATTTTTACGGTGTCAATATTTTATATAAATTCATTACACCATTTTTTTAGTTTCTAAGTTTATTCTGCTACTTATATAGGTATGAAATACTGTTGTTTTCTGTATTTTATTTATTATTTTTACTTTTTATGTTTATGAGTGTATTGCAGTTGTGTATGTAAGTGCACCCATGCTGTGCAATCCCTGGGAAGGTCAGAAGAGGGTATTGGATCAGGTAGAACTGGAGTTATGGACACTTGTTAGCCACAATATGGGTGCTGGAAACAGAACACGGGACCTCTGAAAGAGCAGCCAGTGCTCTTAACAACTTAGCTATCCCTCCAGCCCCTGTTGTATTCAGTAATAAAGTATTCATAAGGGAAGATTTATATTATGTCAATCAATAATATTTTTCTGATTTTTTAGCTTGACAACAAATTTTCATTCATAAAGGGTTCCACAAACATTATAGCTAAGACTGTTGGGAATTTAAAATCCAAGTTATGTTTGGAAAGATGGTACTTAAATTCACAAAGGAATCAGAATGAGATTATCAATATGTACTTTGATTTCACATTAGTAAATTATCTATCATTCTCATGTTCTTCAAACTGAAATATGTGAGAGAGATGTGTTTGTGTGTATATGTGTGTGTATGTATTTGTGTTTGTGTGTATATGTGTGTGTATGTGTGTGTGTGTGTGTGTGTGTGTCTAAGATACAAATACCTTAAAAGAGGCTCTGAACACAGCACTCTGCTTATCCATGCCTTGGCCTACTACCACATCACCTCATGTAGTGATGATTTTCATTTTTAGTCAAGCTCTATTTAATTTATTTGGCTATGGATTTAGTCTTACTTTGATTCACCATAAAGCTATTAATGTTAGAAAGAGGAATGGAAAGCCAGATTGGAACTTATCTTCTACCTCTGATGTTGCCCAAGTGCCAGAAGAACAACAGACATAACAGATCACATGGGGATGTGAAAATGATACTGAGTTTCAATGATGTAACAGAGTTTCTCCCAAGACTCATACTACTCTATGTGTCACACAGCTGCTGTAAATACACACAAACCGAGTATATGGGCTCCAGTGAGGGGTTCTATGGGAGAGTGCCAGTGGGTATGGAGGTATAAAGATGGTTAAGATTGTTTGAGGTGTTCTATATGAAATACACAAAAAAATTTAATAATAAAAGTGTTAGATACTAAAATAAATAAAATAAAAAATTGTTCCACTAAAAACATTATTCCCAGATTATGAAAATTAATGTTTCAAATATTTAATCAAATTTATACACTAACATGTAATAAAATAGTCTTCTGATCTCCAGAATTATTGGAGTCATTTCTCAGAATCAGAAATTGACAAAAATTGCCATCTTGTTTTTACAGAACATCCAGAAACATAGTGTTATTCTGCTCAAAATCAAGTTGTTAAAAGAATTAACTCAAAATCTGATGCAT